TACTTGGCACTGCTTTGCAACTTCTATCCTGACACATGAAAGTAGTCCCCCTAGGTTTAGTAAAATAATGACGGGTTTGCCTTTTTTGTATGTTAATTGTACAAATGATGATAAAATAAGAACTACATAACTTTCATTCATTCAAACAATTAACTACTAAGCTAGTTATATGAAATATAGAGTTTGTTCACAAGGAGCTTATAATCCACCTATAAAAATAGCTACGGCATATAAGTGAACCAGAAAAAAACAAAGGATGGATTCAGCAAACATAAGGAATTTGAAGGTAAAATCAATTTCAGAGGAGAGAGGTTAAGGGGAGAGCAAGAAAAGGCTTCACAGAATAGTGAGAACCTTAATTAGGCCTTGAAGGAGCTTTAAGTGGAAATGGCATGCAGTATAGGGAATGAACAAGGGCACAGGGTTGGATGGGTATAAGAGAAAAAGGAAGGAAAGTCATTTAGCATGGCTGGAAAACAGATCCTGTGAAAGAAAGTAGTTTGAGATAAGGCTCAAATGCAGGTTAAAATTAGGCTGCTGAGGATTATCAGGAACTTATACTTTATTCAGTAAACAATGTAGAAACCATGAACAGTTTTTTTGTTGTTGTTTTTTTTTTTCCAAGAGTTTTATGTTGGGAGCAACCCATCAGAAAAATTACTCTGGCATTAGTACATGTGTACAGAATGGATTATTAACAGTTGGATCTAGAGAATAATCTAACAAATTGGCTAAAAAAGATTATGCTATCTCATTTTTTTTAATGAGAGATCACTTCTAAACCACATTGTATTGCTCAACCAATGATCATTCCAAGGAATTATTTGAGTGGATATAAATGTCATCTCACTAACTTAACCCAGAGACCAATATCTAAATTAAATTAAATCAAACATATTCTTACAAGGAGATAAACACAAATTTAAGACAATTCCAGGCAGAAGGCTCTTTTTGAGGGAAAAAAAATCCTACATAACCTTTGTTTTTCAATCACCTTCTTTCTAAGCACATACATGACACTCTTATCTAGTCAATCATCCTCTAAAGAAGAGAAAAGAAACAAGTAGGGAGAAGGAGAAAGGAGAGAAAGAGGGAGAGGAGAGAGAAGAGAAGAGAGAAAAAAGTGGGCAGATAGACAAGGAGAGAGAAAAGGGAGGAGAGAAGAAAGGAGAGGGAAAGAGGCAGTTCAGCAGAACTAAACAGCAAATCTGAGAATACCAGCCTTATTCAATATCAACAGTTTCCAGCTTGAATTTTCTATGCTCTTCCCAAGCAAAAAATTTTTTACAATTCACTTTAGTGTTTCAGTCCTCTACATTCAACTCAAATCAACTTATAGTTCAAGACCAGATGACCACTGAAAATATGGAAATAACATGAAGGCACTAGAAGAAAATAAATATGAGGATTAAAGAATGAAAGGAGCCAAACCTTACTAAGACCATACAGTTGCCTCACAACTATACCTCATGAATGTCCTTTCAAAGAAGAGTTGGAAATTATTGGGGAGGCAAACACTAAACCACAATTATCATCACTCCAACAAGTAATTTTTCATTGCACCTACAATGGGGCAGGTGCTAGGAATAAAGTATGAAAAATGAAACAATGCCTACTCAGCAGGAGTAGGAGTAGTATTATATTATAACAGAATACACACCAAGTACAGATATGAATATATGTTACATAAAAAAGCTAATAAATACAAACATATAGAAAATATTAAATACACAGTAATTTTAAAGATATAACACTACCAACTGGGATATCAGAAAAAGTTTCTTACAGAAGATATAGTCAGACAACTGACTTGGTAGAGACAATGCAAAAATAAAATAAACTTAAGTAAAAATAAAAAATACACAATTAGATAAACACATTTTGGACTGTTTACGAAAAGGATATAAATGAAGAAAATGATAAGCTTGTTGACTAGAATAACTTTCAAAATGATTTTTAAACATTTTAAAATCACCAATATTTCACAGTGTGTTCTTTCACCTTACCATTTTTAGATAGAATAATCTTTTATGATAAAGACTTTAAAAAAATGAGGAAAAAAATTAAACAAAGATTGCTACCATTATCAAATAAGTCTGACATCATGTGTTCCCATCCATGGTTCCACATCTTTGTAAAGAAGAGCAGAATGATCTTTTCATAGCTCTTCTTTGAGAATGCTGTTCGGTCATGAAAATTCTGTAGCATTCATTTATCATTGTTCTATTATTATTTTTTTCCTTTACATTGCTGAAATCAACATGTATCTATTATATTTGGTTCTACTTAATTTGCTTATCATCAATAGATTTTTCAATTTTTTTTGTATTTCTTATTCACAATTTATGAACCACAGTAATATTCCACTGTAGTCAAAAGCTTCAATGTATTTATGCAACCCCAATAAAGGGGCATTTGCTTGATTTCCAGTATACACTTACTACAAAAAGTAGGTCTCAAAATAGTTCAGTATATATTGGGGGCCTTTCTTTTTTGTTATTAACCTCCTCAAAGCATATGCAAAACACTGTAATCTGCAAGTCAAATGGCCCAGATATCTTAGTCACACTCAGCACTATTTTGCACAACAGCTACACAATTCATGTTCCCAGAAAAAATGCATTGGCATTCCTGTCTTACTGCAGTCTCTCCAACACTTTTTTTTAAGATAGTAAAGTAGGTTTATAATGCTGATACTTAGACTAATCCTAAAAAACATAGCCTTGATAATGAAACAAGAGAAAGAGAGAACCCAGAGGAAGAAAATTATAAACTACTATCCTTAATGAATATTTATGAATAAATTTTAAACAAAATATTAGCAAATGCACCACAACAACATATTGAAAAGATTATGGATCATGACCAGGAAGGAATTATACCAGTAATGCAGGATTAATACATTCAGACAGCTAGGTGGTGCAGTGAATACCAGCCCTGGTATCCAGAGAACCCGAATTCAAATCTGCCCTCAGACACACAATACTCACTAGTTGTGTGACTCTGGGCAAATCACTTAACCCCAATTGCCTCGCCAAAAACAAACAAACAAAAAAACCCTATCAAAATGACTGACAATATTAGAAACAGATAATTAAAATCATGTGATTATATCAACGTATTGTGAAAAGAACTGATAAAATACAACACCCATTTCTGATTTAAAAAAAAATGAGACAGAATATGAAAAAATGACCCTGTCATTAATACAGTAAATTGTATCTAAAACAAAGAGCAAACATCCCACAAGAAAAAAAAGTATGAAGCCTTTCCAATAGAATCAGGGGTAAAGCAAGGATGGCCATTATCAATTCTATTATTTAATGTAGTGCTCAAAATGCTTGTTAGAGCAGTTAGACAAGAAAAAGAAACTGAGGCAATAACTACAGCAAAAAAGGAAACCAATCTTAAAAGTCCTAAGCAAGAAACCTGAGTCAAGTAAAAAGTTTATAGAAACAATAAATTCTGCAAAGTCACAAGATATAAAATAAATCCACATAAATCATCAGCACTGCAAAATGTTACCAAAACACAACAGAATTTCCACTTAAAATAATTATCAAAATGTATAAGATATTGCAAAGACTATTTTCCAAGAGAAATCTAGGAATAACATAGACTGCTAATAAAATTGTCTTTTTATTAATCCTCTCCATTTCATGCTACATTCTAGCTCCTTATCACAAAAACCTGATATACCTTCTCTCATGCTCCTTGACAAAATGGCCCAAGATGAAAAACAAGCTTTATTTCCAATTTCCACTTTGAGATATTCCCTTTGCTACCATTATTCCACTGCCCCTGTGTCTTTGAGCTTTTAATGACAGTTATCCAGCAGCCCTCAGCTTTTGTTTTGTTTTGTTTTGTTTGGGGGGGGGGGGGTGGAGTTTAGTACCAGACATAGGCTGACCATGTTATTCTCCAGCCCAAGATGATTTAGCAGCTGCCTATTATACCCAGGATAAAACACAATGTTTCCATATGTAGCTACTGCAAAAAAGTTTAAATGACAGACGGATTTCACTATATTCCCATTCACATAATAATTTAAGGTTCCTCCCTAACATAATGTTGTCTCCCATCTTCAGGTCACTACACAGTTTACTACTCACACCTGAAATGCTTCTTTCTATTTCTTAAACTCCTGGACCCTAGCTCCACTGGACCCTAGATTCATTTATAACAGAGGCTAAGTGCCACTTAACTATAAAAGGCCCTTACTAATAACTCCTAATCATTATCATCTATTACAAGTTACTTTGTACATATTTCTATTTATTTGGGAACATGTTGTTTTGACCCAGTAGGAAAAAAGCTCCATGAAAGCAAATATTTCCATTTTCCTTTGTATCCCCACCCTGGCACATACCAGGTAGTGAACAAATGTTTCTTAAATTGAGTATAATTACAGTATCTTGAAGCATAAAGTAGGCAATAAATCTAACTGTTCATGTATCATAAAATCACAATAATAAGTATTTTCTTTCTAATGAATTTTTGTTTGAGAAAGGGAAATTTGATATGAGTACCAAAGCAACACAGTATTCTTTTTTTTCTATAATCTAAAACCTTTACCACATGTTCTACTCTGTTGTCTTACTATGACATAAAAGCGACCCTGGCTGGCAATAACGAAGAAAGGCTTCAAGCATAGGGTGACATACTGGATGACCACAGCCATATTAAAAGATGCCTAGTTAAATTCAGAGAGTCTTATCCTTAGACAACTGGAAATTATGAAGAAAGGTGATGAAAGGGGTAGGGGAAAGGCCACATTAACATTAATTCATGAGTACACAAAAATTAATGGCACTACCTTACCAAGACTTGGAGAATTTTGATTGATCATAAGGTAGAAAACTCAATGTGACGAATTTACAGATATCTTTCAAAAATAAAACCTAACAACTCATACCACTACTACCATGTAGTAGTTCTTAAATTTCAAAACCTGTGTCAGTAAAAAGTAAGGACATTTAATAGGATTCTTAATTTATTACCTGTTTCAACGGTGTTTTCTGTTTCTGCTGCCTCCAACCCATCCATGCTATCATCATCCTCCACTGTAGCTTTTCCTCTACTTCGAGGCCTAAAAAGCAAACAAAGAAACTTCATTAAACTACAACACTAACATTATAATTACTTGCATTGTGCCTAGAACAGAAGTTAAAAGTATGTGAAACATACTAATACAAAAGAAAATTTTCCAAAAATTAGACCCAAATTACCTCTCAGAAGCTGATTAGCTGCCTGTTTTAATGGTGCACCAGTTTAAATAAACTGTGTTCCCCCAAGACTCTTTCCCACAGCAGAATGCTTTTACACCTTGAAAAATTCTCTAAATAGTTCTATGCAGCAAAAACATCTAGAGTTAACTGTAATCAACTCTAATAAGCGCTAACGTAATAAGCTTTATCTTAAATATGAAATAGAAGATTTTCAAAATGATATAAAAGTAAAATTGTTAGTATAATTACTGTAGCCTAAATCTCTTGACATTGAGAAAGTCAAAATAATATACATAATAATTTGAAAAACAGAAGCTCTAAAACTGGTTCTGTTCTGAAGCTATGAAGGAGAGAGAAAAATGAGGAAAAAGGGAATATTAGTGCAGAACACGAAAGGGGGAAAGGAATTTTATATTTTTCATATTTGGAGTACATGAGAAGAGTGTACAAACATGGAGGAAAACAGTTGACAGAAAGCACATATCTAATTAACTTCACTCTTAAATAGTCAATGGAGAGTTAAATACACTCGGGAAATTAGGTGTAGGAATATATTTAATTCAACTGAAAAACATGTGAAAGGTAAGATGGAGTTTAACAGGGAGGATAATACTGAGAAGACAAAAGCTGCTAACAAAACCAACTTCAAAATCCTGAAAGGGGAACAAAAGAGCTGGGGAGGACAGGGGAAGCTAGGGAGTTGCCTTAAATGGTCTTTTCTACAACAGTAATGGCTACTCAACTGAAGTATGATGAATGTAATGGATTATTATGCCTTGAGAAATAACAAAAGAGATGATTTTAGAAAAATCGGATAGTATGAACAGATACAGAATGAAGTGAGCAGAACCAAGAGAACAGTTTATATAAGGACAACAATGCTGTAAAGAAAACACAACTAAAAACTCTGATTGATATAATAACCATGAACAATGAACAATTCCCAGAGGCCTGGTGAAGATGCATACCACCAACCACCAGATAGAAAAGTAAAAAAAGATATAAACTGTATTCAATTATGTAGCTCAGTGAGTACATAATTAAACCTAGAGTCAAGAAAATCTGAGTTCAAAGCAAGCTTCAGACACTTAATAACTGTGTGACCCTAGTCAAGTCATTTAATCTCTGCCTGCCTCAGTTTTCTCATCTCTAAAAATGGATATAACAAAAGCATCTAGCTTTCAGGGTTGTTTTGAGGATAAATTAAGATATTTGTAAAGCACTTTGTAAATCTTAAAGTGTTATAAATGCTACCTATTAGCATTGATTATGCTAATCGGTTAAAGGATTTTTCCCCCGTCATGTATTTTTTTGTTTAAATTAAGGACAAAGACTGGAAGGAAAAGGAGATTTTTAACAAGAATCCTGAAAATGTCATTAAAACATGTTTAAATTTAAAAAATGGAATTCAAACAAAGTCTAGAAAAGAGTAGAGACAAGCAAGACAATTCTGAGAATTAGATATGGCACTGCACTTGAGTTTGCACAAATCTACACACAAGGACACATGTCCTTGACTAGACAGTACTTTATGGTACTCAATTTGATTTATTTTTTAAACTTTACAGTATTAGTAATTTTGTGGCTAAAACCACCAGTGCTACATGCAATATCAAACATTAGCCCTCTAATGCCCTCCCCTCTACCCCTCAAATTCAGATACAGTAACCACCCTTAAAAGTTTATGCAACCTTCTGTTCCATCACTACGCATACTCTCTCTGCTTCGATGAGGAATTTGTATTTCATAGTGTGATAGAAAGTTAGTTATTCTAGTTCCTCAGAGTTCTACTTTTTTAATATTTCCATTCATATTACATTTATCCCTTATACACCTCCCCCCTCCCTCCATCACCACTGCAACAATTCATTGAAACCTTTCAATGTATCTCTGAATTCTTCATAGACATCACTTCTTGCTGCTCTATAATATTTCGTTATGCCTACATTTTAGTTTGTTCAGCAATTCACCCATTTGATAGGCATTCCCTTTACTTCTAGGATCAACATTAATATTTTAACATATCAATAAAAATTAAGTCCCCATATACACCAAAATACTTGTAGCAGCACTTTTTAAGATAGCAAAAAATTAGAAAATCAAGTAGATAACCATTGATTGAGGAATAGCTAAAGGGAACATGAATGTAACAGAATATTACTGTGTTCTAAGAAATGAGATATGTCAAATCTAGCCTCAGACCAAACACTTGATACTTACTAGCTGTGTAACCCTGGGCAAATCACTGAACGCCAATTGCCAAATAAATAAATAAATGAATAGTGAGTCAACAAATAAATCACAAAATCAATGTATTATATTAAAATTAATAGCAATGAAACAGCAAAATACATGTAGTACTTCAAAAGTAACATTGGGAAAAACTTATAATAACACAATAGAAAATACCAAGATGAGGTAAGCACACAATTTAAAAGTCTAGGAAAAAAATTAGCAACTGTAAAATGTTTAAAAAAATTTTTTACAATCAAAAATACAAAAAAAAAGAAATCCCAAGGCAAAGAAAAAGAGCTACTTTTTAAAAGACTAATAACCATTATCTAGCCTGTATGTAAGATGATACCTCCAGAAAAACAGCAAACGCAAAAGGAATTGAATATTTACAAAAATATAAAATCTCCCAAAACAAGCTTTCTCAATGAATAAAGGAGTAAGAAATAGGAGGGAGAGAATTTGTAATTGAAAATTAAACTGAATTTTAAACAAGATATCCTGCTGCTCTTACTATGAGGGTCTTGTCTCAATTTTACTGAGGCAAAGGTCATTTGTTCTAAGCTTTTTCACAATTCTATGCCCCAAATGCCTAATTATCCCTCATCTTTTACATCTAAGTAAAAGGTAGACCGGCCCTTCTTGTGTGCTTTTGCCCAAACATTCTTCCCCACTCCAAATCTTCATTCTCTCTTGAAGTAATTGAAGTAACTGCTGGCTGCTACCGAACTATACCCAGACTTTCACAATCCTTAAAAACCTTCACTTAATATAATCTTTCCCTCAAAGTAACATCCTACATATCTCCTCCGTTCTACAGCTAAAACCCAAAAAAGCTTTCTGGTCTCAGTAGTTCTTTTCGTTTTTCTTGGAATTTTTTATGCATTATTTTGAAAAAAAAAATTTTAAACATTTTTTAGAGTTGCTAATTTGTTGATTTTTCTAGGCTTTTAAATTGTATGCTTAGTTGATCTTGGCATTTTCTATTGTGTTGTGAGTTTTCCTAAACATTATTTTTGAAGTTGAAAAAAGAGAAAGAGATATGAACATCACTTTAGATGCACTACATAGATTGTGTTATGTTTCATTGCTATTAACTTTAATATGATACATTGATAATGTTATTTATTTGACTAATTATAATGAATCATAACATTATCCAGCTTGTATGTAAGATGATACCACCAGGAAAACAGCAAATGCAAAAGGAATTGAGTAAAATATAAAATCTCCCAAAACAAACCTTTTTGCCTCACTTCCCCTACTTCTTCACCTTACACTCACTTCAACCATGTATTCTAGGGGCAGTTAGATGGCTCAGTGGATACACTGCCGGGCCTGGAGTCAGGAAGACATGAGTTCAAATCTGTCCTCAGACACTTACTATCTCTGTGACCATGGGCAAGAACTTCTGTTTGCCTTAATCCACTGGAGAAACAAATGGCGAATCACTCCAGTATTTCTGCCCAGAAAACCCCATGGACAGTAGCGGCATGATTTGGACCACAGGTCACAACAAGTCAGATACAACTGAACAACAACAAACTGAGCATGCCTCACTTCTCTATTTTCTCTTTCTAGATGAGCTCATCAGCACATCATTGGTTTAAGTATCGTTATGAAGGTAATTCCCAACCCTACATGTTCAATACTCAGCTTTCTCCTGAGGTGTATCACCACAGGAGGAAGGGAATGACATCTCCCATGTTCTGATCTATGAGGAGGTCATCTCCAGTCGTCTTGATCTATATCATACCACTGGACCCAGATGGCTCCAGAGGAGAAGAGTGAGGCTGGTGACTTTGCACAGCCCTCCCTCACTTAAATTCAATTCATTTGCAAGTCAAGGCATCATCTTCCTGATGTCACGTCCTCTTTGAGAATGAAGGATGAACAACAATCACTATCAACTGTCTACCGAACATATCCACCTCCATGTCCTACAGGCAACTCAACTTCACTATGTCCAAAACACAATTCATTAGATTTCACATTAAGTTAGGAGCAACTAACTTTCAGTTTGGCAGGAGATGGCTACCCTTTCTGGTACTCAAATTCAAAAACACTGAATTATCCTCTACTTTTAAGCCTATTAAATATATGTTGTTTCCAGAAAATCAAGTAGAGTGCATTTGGCACAGTTATTTAGCACATAATTTTGATAATTCCAAAATTAGTCATCTTTTTTGAGGGCCAAGTTCTAACATTTGTAGTGGTCCAAAAATTATAATCACCCCAAAGACAAAATTAAACAAGTACAAACCTTTAAAAAAAATACTAATAGATCACCATGTGTCATGTCCTCATCAAATCAATGTTTGGGAACTTCAGAAAGGTAGGCACACTAGTTTTGGCCTTAAAGTTGTCAACAAAACTCTAGAATGGAATGTAAAGTTGAAGTATACAAAATAAATATAACTTTTTTTCTATTAATTTTAAAAACAAGTTTTATTGATCTTTTTTTGGGTATCTATCACTAGTAGAAACTCTTCTTTGAAACAACAGGAAGCCCAGCAAAATACATCAACACACTGTTCAAGACTTAAGAATCGAAGAATGCATATCTCAGGAGTTATACTTTAGTATTTTCAAGTACCTACTGTCTACTCTTCACATCATATAGCACAAT